AACTGTAAATTTTAAATTATCATTGATAACAGCTGAAATAACAGCTGGAACCAATTGGGCAAATTGAGACGAGGTGCGGAAAACAGAATACACCAACAGAAGACAGACTTTAAAAGTAAAAACAGGAAATTCATAGACAAATCTCAGAGGCACAGAACTAAACTTATATTAAAAACTACAGATAACAAATTACAATACACAAAACCCTACGTCACTGACCCAGGATCATGACTGTTTTGCTTTATAAATAAAGTTGGCTTGGCTTTATTCAATTCAACTATATTTATATTGCCCCAAATCACAACAACAGTTCCCTCAGTAAAATAAACCTCACAGTAACAAACACAGTATATTAGCACAGTAGTTTATTAGCAGCTATTTTGCCAAACTATTAGCAAAATAGTTCAATAGCATCAATCTAACTCAGATTCGCCAATTCTCTGTCGAATAACAGATTTTAATCTGAAACAACTTCATGGTTGAAAAATACAATATGAAAAAACCAACAGGGTGTTCTAGACCTTTTAAATCTAATGTTGCTCACTGTAAGCTAATTATGTCACCATAAATACAGCATCAATAATAATGTAATCACCTTTAAATATAAACGGTTCTAAGTGTATATATGATTAATTATTGAGTATATATACACATTATACACACACACACACACACACACACACACACACACACACACACACACATACACACACACACACACACACAAATACAACAGAGGACTTCTCCCTTTCATTGTGCTGCTCTGAGGTTACAGCTGAAGGGAACTTTCTGGACTTGTGAAATTTCCTGTTTATTCTCATATTTCTTTACAGTAAATCTCAGGAAGTGTGTTTAATTCCCCATAAAAGCAGATAAATCAGATAAAAAGTGGTACACGAGTCGGTGATCGTTCATGCATTACTGTGGCTGTGACAGAAATAACCCAGAAGTCCCTGTGTTTGTTCAGACCGCACTGACCCTGTAAAACTCAAACACTGATACTACTAACTAGTAACTACTACTACTACTACTACTACTTCTAACTACAACTACTAACTAGAATAAGCTGTCGTCAGGTCAGTTAAAGCTGTGAGCAGAAGGTGGGAATGTGTTTCAGACTTACACAGAAACCGGAGCGCTGATGATGCTTTGGAGGGTTTCTGATCCGAGCAGCTGTGAAAGACGGCAGGAAGAGGAAGATTGAGTAATATGAGGCAAGTATGAAATGTGCTCACACCTCTGCTGACTATTACACATGAAGCTTTAACACAGCTTTAAAACAGTCCTGATGTCTCAAAAAACATCAGGACTTTAACAGGCTTATTTTTCAGTGTGAACACGAACAGAGGAAAAAAGCAGGACTTTCTGTCCTAAACCATAAGAACATAATCTGTCCTCAAGGGGGCAGCAAACCCTCACATACAAGTCAGAGCAGTGTGAAAATTCAGAATTCAGCATTTTAATCCGCCGTTTAAAATACTGCGTAGTCTAAAGCAAAAAACCATAAACATGCTCACCAGCGCGGAACTCCATAATTAACCTAAAACTGGTCAATGATAGCCCATAATTACTTAAGACAGCTGACTGAAAAGGTAGTCTGTCGGGTCCTTTTTGATCCCTGGGTCATCTGCAGGAATCACACTGTGATCCATATCCAGTTTAGGCCATTCCTCCTCTTCTTGTAGGGAAATTCTGGACCATTTAACCATCCCCACTTTTGAGGAAATCCTCACCTTTCACACTTATGGATGGGTCATCTCTGCAAGGTTCTCCTTGGAGGAAACATCTCTCCACTGATTCACATCTGTTGCTTCTCGAATGACAGAAATTCTGTTTGCAGCAAAGACACTAAATGTTCGGTTTTCATTGGAGATGCATTGTATTATATCAGTCCAGAAAAATGATTTGTCCAACCTTATCTGCAACTCTTTTTGCAGAAGCATGTTCACTGGAACTGCAAGCACTGCAGCAGTGAATTCCAGCCTGGGAATTGTAGTTTTCTTAAGGGGAGCAACCCTAGCTTTTCCCAGGATAAAGTCAACGTGTGATGTTATTCTTTTTCAGTTTTACATATGACACTGTTCCATAACTATCTTGACTTGCATCAGAAGAATGATGAAGTTGTGCCTTATCTGGTCTTCCATAGAAACTCAGTTTAATGCAGCGTTTCACTTTTAAATCAGCTGGAGATCTTCCAGCTAATCACACCACCCCTGGGATTGGCTGGAAGATGATGTAGGGAGACAAGATTCCCAAAGGTCCATACAATGAGCTGACCACAGACTAAATGCACCTTCTGGTTGGTGGATGGTCCTGAACAAAGGTGAACTCATCTGTTTCTATGCACCACTCTAAACCCACTGCTCTCTCGCTTGGAAGTTGATCTGTCTCTAAATCCAGATCCTTGATTTCCTGTGGGATTGACATGAGCACTGTGCGACTATTGCTGATCCATTAGTACAAATATCAGTCAGGCTCTCCACCATATGTACTTTTTCTTCTTATGAAGCAATAGATTTTAAACACTCATAAACAAAAC